GAAAGGAAAAGGAAAAGAGAAGAGAAATAAAATTTCTCATCTTAAAATTTTAATGTTTACCTGGGGCGCCTGAGTGGCTCAGTTGGTTAAGTGTGGGACTCTTGATTTCTGCTCAGGTCATGATCTCAGGCTCCTTGGATCGAGCTGCACATCGGGCTCCACAGTCAGCGGGGCATCTATTTCTCTCCCCCTCTCTCTCTTTGCCTCTCTCCCCACTCACACACTCTCTCTCCCTCCCTAAAATAAACAAATATTTTAAAACAATTTAACGTTTACATTATAGAGCCCTTATTTTATTATAAATACATAAACATGAATCTTTATAGCTATACCAATCTTGGTTTTTATTTTTTATTTATTTATTTTTTTAAAAAGATCTTATTTTTAAGTAATCTGTACACCCAACATGGGGTTTGAACTCACCGCCCCGAGATCAGGAGTCACCTACTCCACTGACTGAACCAACCAGGCACCCCCAACAATCTTGGTTTTTAGAAGTATTGTTTTACCAAAAATCCCAGGCGTGAGCTTTTAGTTTTTAAAATTGGGATCTCTAGTGGACACCTGGGTGGCTCAGTTGGTTAAGCGTCTGCCTTTGGCTCAGGTCATGATCCCAGGATACTGGGATCGAGTCCCACATCGGGCTCCTTGCTCAGCGGGGAGCCTGCTTCTCCCTCTGCCTGCCACTCCTCCGCTTGTGCTCTCTCTCTGTCTCTGACAAATAAATAAATAAAATCTTAAAAAAATAGATAAATAAAATTGGGATCTCTAGGATAGCCTTGTAAAGGCCTCCCTAAATCAAATCTTAGAATCCATCTGGAATGGATGGGGAGATTGGGTAACTGGGTGATGGGCATTAAGGAGGGCAGGTGGTGATGAGCACTGAGTGTTATACGCAACTGATGAATTGTTGAACACTACATCTGAAACTAATGATGTACTATGTGCTGGCTAATTGAATTTAAATAAAAAAAGATAATCTCGCTGGATTACCTTAAACCACTTGATATGATATGCATGTACGTTTCTGCGTTCATTAGCCTTTTCTCTTTTCTTTTAGTTCCCTCTGCCACCATTGTCACTTTTGTCCATGAAACCTGGTGTTCATACAATCCCCCCAAATCACAATGATCCAAAAGAGAGAGAAAGAAATATTCTGAACTTCATATCCTTTGTACCTAAGCTCTCAGAGCCCGGAAGTCGATCTGAGGAGTTTAGACCATCACACAAGCAGCAGGAAGCTCCGTTTAAGGTGTTTGTGGGTCAGACTCTCAGGTCCTCTGATAGCTCCATTTGGTCCAGAAACATGTGCTCGTTTTGGAAGGCTAGCCATCAGAGACAACACATGGAGATGGAGGAGAACAGGAAATCCAAGGAAACAGAAGGAAGCGACAAAATTGCAGTCTCTGACTTTGAAAAGGGACAATCTTTGGGATCCTCTGGAAATTGTGAGGAGAGCAATTTTCCTACAAATCGGGAAGTGGATCTTGACTGCATTGGTCGTGAAATTCGAAAAGCAGAAGAAGAGAATTCTCAACATCTTTCATCAGGAAAGAAAGAGGGTTCAGTAGCCAGAAACTGTAAACAAGACTGTGAAGTTGGATGTACCATGCCAATCAAGTTCCAAGAAGCCCAGCATTCAGAAATAATTCTAAGGCAGGATGAAGAGACTAGAAATGATCAGGCTGATTCCAAAAGTTCTTCAGTACAGAAAGGTGAAGCAGTTGAGCCAAATCATATTTTAGAAGAGTGTACGGTACTTAAAAGTTTGTCCATTGTAGTCCCTGATGGCTCTACTGAAGAGCTCCCACAAGGTCATAGAGGCATGGAGACAAACATAAAAATATCAGGAGCAGAGGCCACCAAACCAGAAATGAATGCAATGGTGCCTCTTATCCACATCACTTTCCCTGGACATGGACCTCCCAAGGAACCGGCAATAGCCAAACTGAGCCTCCAAAAAAGAAAGGGCACTCTTCAAAACAACAATAGCTTCAACATACTTGCACACCAAGAAAACGACGGGCATAAGATGAAAACCCACAGAAATAAGTTGGAGTCAAAGACCAAGACCAGTAACAGGACACCCCAGAATTTCATGATTTCCATTGAGGGTTCCATTAAGCCTACCATGCATAAAACCAGCAAAAAAACTCAAGTTTTCCCTGCTTTGGGGCTTGTTGACCCCAGACTTCGGCAGTCACCCAAGTTTCAAAGGAGAATGCCACAGGTAGAAAAGAAGCAATCAACTTACCGGGCTCTGAAACCTAAAAAGCAATCTTTTCCTTGCATCTGTAAGAATCCAGGAATGAAGAAGTCTCCTGTTCCTCTCTCTGCTCAACCAACAGAGCCAAGACTAAATTATTTAGATCTTAAGTATAGTGACATGTTCAAAGAAATCAATTCAACTGCTAATGGGCCTGGAATCTATGAAATGTTTGGGACTCCTGTTTATTGTCACACGAGAGAGGCTGAACATCAGGAGCACAAATATTACCGAGAGATATGCTCAGCTCCGTCTGGCAGATGTATTACCAATAAATGTCGATCGTCACACAGTGAGAGAAGCAGCAATAGCAGAACAAGATTTTCTCAGAAAAGACCACACATTAAACCTGCAAAGCCTTCGCTTGGCATTAAACAAAAGGGCAAAAGTTTAATTTCTAAAGAAAAGGGTTACAAGGCCGTAGGTAGCAACTTACAAGACATTGAAAATGGTGATGATATTTCAGATCCAGAGTGGCAGATAAAGTCTTCAGGAAATGACTTTCTCTCTTCCAGTGATGAAGGTCAGCCCATGAACTTGGCTCTGCTTCAGAAGCAGTCCACTGCACAGAATGGATTCCTTTCTGTTACAGGTTTGTCCACTGTTGAAGAAGTCTCTGTGGAAGAGTCTGCTAATGAAGGAGACATTTCTAACAATCAAATACTTGCCACGAGCCTCAGAGATCTGCATAAACTTGAAGAACTACATCACCAGACCCCATTTGTTCTTTCAGAAAATAGCTGGGCAGTGCCCAGTGAGAAGGGTTCCAATAAGCATGTACTGCAAGAAAAGCAGAATACAGCATCTCTTGGTAAAATAAATGCCAACCAAATTTTGACTAACGATATAGGGTTCGAAAGTGTTTTAGATAAGTCTGAAACACCTACGAGTTTCTCTTTCCAAGAGAAACAACAGAGTGCATCTTCCCAAGCATATCAACATTGGGCACATTCTTTGGATCATGATAGTTTAGCTAATGAGTCAATTACATATCACACATTTGGACAAACTTTAAATGATGCAAATTCAATTTCGCAAGAAATTCTAGATTCTGTGAAGAATGAAGAATTGACAGATGAACTATTAGGATGCCTAGCTGCAGAACTATTAGCTCTTGATGAGAGAGATAACACCTCTTATCAAATAATGGCAAATGAAACAGATCCTGAAAACCTAAATCCTGTCTTCAGTAGGAGAGGAAAAACCACGCCAGAATTGGGCGGAGAGACGACAAATGTTAAAATACAGGTTGGTATAATTAGAATCAGTGATTCATTGAGGCAGGAAGGGTCCTCAGAGTCTGGTTCAAACTCCTTATTTTCAAATGAGGAATCAGAAATCCTAAACAACTCAGTAGTTTTGTCAAGGTCTCACTATTTGGTTGCAAGTTTGGAATCCAGATCCCCTGACTGTCAGGCTAAGATGTTTCCTTTTTCTTTTTTAATTAATTAATTAATTAATTTTAAATTAACATATAATGTATTATTTGTTTCAGGGGTACAGGTCTGTGATTCAT